CCTTCCCCCCTCCCCCCCAGCCCCCTGCAAAGTTTCAAGAGGTTTTTTGCCATTGACTTCAATGGCCCCATTGGTTATAATGGACCCGAATTTTTTCGGGATTTTTTTTTCGGGATTCAGAAAAACGCATAGGAAGCCATTTCGGGATTGCAAAAGCCGAAAAAAGCCGAAAAACGTTATTTTCGGCTTTTTTTTTTTCGGTTCGGGATCCCGAAATGCACATCCCTACTCCCTGCAGGATGACCTAATACTGTTCATATATGCCTGCCCATCTCTGTTGAGGAACACGAGAGGCTTTAGTGGGAGAAAGGCAGGTACCACTCAAACAGCAATGCTTAGGATCCAGGCCAAGGTTCTGCAGCTGTCAGTCAGTGTGGTCTTGTTCTGCCACCACTTCCTTGTTGGGATATCGTTGTTCAGCTGTAGTATACTTTATTTTTCCCTGGCCCATATTTAAATCATGCTCTGTGCATAGTATGGGTTATTTCTGTTGAACCACACAGTCATGATTCATGCCTTGGTACTTGCCTGATGACTAAAAGAGTACATTTACATTCCTTTCAAGGGCTGCACAAAGATGTTCAGGGATAACTCTGCCATGAGGAAGCATCTGCACACTCACGGGCCACGAGTACACGTTTGCGCTGAATGCGGCAAAGCCTTTGTGGAGAGCTCAAAACTAAAGCGGCATCAGCTAGTTCATACTGGAGAGAAACCCTTTCAGGTAACTTTTTCACAGTATTCCATCCGGCAACTCTGTACTTCATCTTTGATAAAACAAATACCGCTTCCGTATTGGGGATCAGGCTGTAATTTTTGAGATAAGAAAGGCACCTGCTCTGAGATAAAACCATGCTTAGGTAACAGCTGAAAAGCTGGAAAGAATCCGAAGTGCTGTGGAGCTAGGGTGTCAGAATTGGCTGATAGCATTTCATTGGGACCATCCCTGATGACTCTGGAAGACGTGTAAGGTTGTATGTAGACTGAACATTAGCCTTATCCTTACTTCGCTGGCTTGGAGTAAAGCAAGCTATATGATTCCTGAAATGGAACAATTTCAATTAAAAAGTCTACAACACAAAGACCATGGTTTCTTTCCATTATTAACACATGGACTGGGGGGCCAGCAGACTTGTATCTGCTAAAGTTATTCCTAACTTAATGCTTGAAATGTGACTGCATGGTTGTTAACTGCCCTCTTCTCACTCACGGCGCAAAGCATTTCAGATGCTGCCTGCATTTCTGCACACTGCATCATACTTGATGGTTTTTTAAGTGTTGGGGCAGCTGACATAGATGGAGAGCAGTATTTTTTCTTTTTAGAATTGTTTCTCCCTTTTCTGACATGCTGCGTTTTCCCACTACAGGCCAGGCCTCAGAGGTTTTGTAGGTGTGGGATGTCTTTCCCTGATAAGTCATACTGTCTAGTTTGCCAGAACAAGATGTACAAACTGGACAACACCATAAACAAATTGTATGTTGTTTTTTTTGTTTTCTCTGAGGTTCTTAGAATGTGCTTGTATGCAAACTGTCTCCTCTTCTACGATTGGAACAGTGCACAGAAATCAGGGCAGTAGAGGAATCCTCTTTGCAATCCTGTTTTTTAAAAGCTCCCGTTTTTAAAAGGCTCACTTTTTTTGATGTTGACAAGAGCACTGGTTTGCCAGGCAGGGTCCTAATTGGCAGAGTATGCAGCTCCCTTAGAGGTGGCTCTAGTACCTGATGAACTGTCAACAGTTAGGGATGTTGAGAGCTCCTACAGGAAGGATGCTTCAGTACCCTGCACAGCTTCCTTTTCCTTTTTCATGCTTGTATTTCTCATTCCCTATCTTGTTATAACATTTCTTGTCCAAAAATTCCATGTTTTGGCAAACTTGCTATTTGTAAGAAGAATAGATTCTAGGGAATGCTTAACTGTGGTCAGTCAGCATATATGTAGGCTACGTTTCCAAAGTGCAAAATTAGGATTGAGGGGTGGGGTGCTCGAAGGACACGCTCCTCTGCCTTATAGATATTAGTGGTGATCACTGGATTACCCCATTCTGCATTAAGTGTAATAGAAATGTGTCTTCCTTTTGATGTGATACTGTTTGTAATGTATGTTAAGTATATTAAAAAGGGCCATACCAGACCCCAAGCATAGTTTACAGAGGGGCTTAGGAAAGCTCCAGTTTGTATAGCTTTGCTAGGACTGCAAAAGCAGAGATTATCAAGCAGTTGTTTGGTTATAATATATATGTATTGCAGCTGGCTAGCTTGCTGGGTCACCAGTTATGTAAGGCTGCTAAAGATGTAGAGTGGAAATCAATCTTCCATGGACTTTAGAACTTGTACTTGACCTGAGTAAATGCCAAACGCAAGCACTGACCTGCAAGTGATAAAGATTAGCTTTCTGCCTTCCCCCAAAGTACAAGGAGAAAGGAGCATTACTCCAAAGAGATGTTAAGCATCCTGAAAATCTTTGACCATGTTGACCTTGATTGACTGCAGTTTCTACATAACTGGTTGTGATTACATTTTTGATTACACACACAATTTTGATTACACACACAATTAGAGTCAGAAACAGCATTAAAGGAAAACACTAATGTAATAGAATTGACAGCACAACCTCTTCACAACAGTGCCTAAAATTATAACAGGGTCATTTCTGCATAGCACTTGGGATGTGTGCGCAGGTAAATGGTTCATGATTCTGTTCTGCTATCAGCAGTGCTTTTTCCAAGGGCCAGAAGACATCTTGATACGAGAGGATCTTCCACCAGCAGAAGAGCCTTTTGCATCAGAGGAAGGCTCCTTGGGCCAAGGGAAAACTGCTGATAACTAAACGGATCAACCCTGAGGCCCATAGTGGCTGGAAATGGTACTGCTGAAGTAATGGAAATAACTGCTGGTCATCTGCATGGAGCATCGCTTGCACATGGATTGGCTTTGACTCTGTACACAAGAGTGTGGGGAGACAGTTTTCCAAGTGTTCACCTGTGAGACCCTGATTTGGCACTGCATAGATCACTTCTTAGTTTGCACATAAATCCATTAAATGAGGCAAAGACCTTTACTGCAAGCAATTTTTAAATTTAACTGCATTGCTAACACCCTCTCTTTTTCATTCCACAGTGCACGTTCGAAGGATGTGGCAAACGCTTTTCACTGGACTTCAATTTACGCACACATGTGCGAATTCATACTGGAGACAGGCCCTATGTGTGCCCTTTTGATGGCTGCAATAAGAAGTTTGCTCAGTCAACTAACCTGAAATCTCACATCTTAACACATGCTAAGGCCAAAAATAACCAGTGAAACTGCAAGAAGAAAGGTCTTGAACTCAAAAGCATCTTACCTTACAGGAGAATGATTGGGAATAAATAAGCCTCCCCTTTATATATTGTTTCTAGGAAAGAATTTAAAAAGAAAAAAAACCCTACATGCCTAAAGGACTTGTTTTTGATAAAGTAGCAAAAATAAACTTTAAGACTTTTTTGCTACGATGCTCGATTTTGCTCTGTAATTGGTTTCGAGAGCATGGTGTTTTTGTAAAGCGTGGCCCCATCTGGAGGAGGCAGACAGTTCATGGACTTGCATCAGAGACAGTTCTTTCTACAACAGTGCTAAAATTGGACTTTTCACATTCTTATAAATACGAAGCTCACCTGTTGCTTACAATTTTTTAATTTTGTATTTTCTAAGTGTGCATATTGTACACTTTTTGGGGATATGCTTAGTAATGCTATGTGTGATTTTTTTCTGGAGGTTGATAACTTTGCTTGCAGTAGATTTTCTTTAAAAGAATGGGCAGTTACATGCATACTTCAAAAGTATTTTCCTGTAAAGAGAAAAAAAAAGTTATATAGGTTTTGTTTGCGCTCTTTAATTTTTTTTGGTTGTATTCTTTGATGTTAACACATTTTGTATAATTGTATCGTATAGCTGTAATGAAATCATGTAGTATCAAATATTAGATGTGATTTAATAGTGTTAATCAACCTAAACCCATTTTAGTCACTTTTTTGGGAAAAATACTGCCAGATGCCGACGTTCCGTGTACTTTCTCTTGCCTGTTCAGTTAAGGAAAGTGGTGCTCAGTTGTAGAATGTATTGTACAGGCACTGACCTTTTAACAACACCTGATATGTACATCCCGTGTAATAGAGTGGGCAACAATAAAACAGTGGTCCTGAAGAAAGAATATGGCAGAAAATTATCTGTAAGCACAGCCTATTTTCTTCTGTTGTCCCAAACAAATTATAGTTCTTTAACCTCCCAGGAAATTGGAAGCTAAATAAAACACAAGTTACCTTTATATTTGCTTTTTGCGTTTAATCACAAGCAGTAGCTATGCAGATGTGATGGAGAGTGGGATCTCGGCACATGCTTGGGGACTCCCCTCCCACTAAGTAAAGTGAAGAGTTGTGGGGCAGTTTTACTTTCTACAGCCAATAAGTTAATGGAACAGCCCGGCAATTCAGTGAGCTCTTCTTGCTCTTTTCTGGCAAGGTAAGGTAGTGGCAGGCAGCTCCCCCCCCCCAATTAGCATTGCAGGAGTGGCATGTGATATGGCGATCTCAGAATATCTTCTGTTTGTGGCCATTCCCTACAGGTTAACTCTGTGTTATAAGAGGCCATGCTATTACCCTGTAGACAGCTATAGAAAGTTTAATGAGTTTTGAAGCCCATCAGCTAAGAAATACCTTCCCAGTGTATCTGATTCCGTGTAACGGATTGATGTTTGCTGCCATAGCTGGCATGTACAGAGCCTGTCTTTTAGATTGGATTCATCGGAATGATCAGCTCCTTCCAGCTGTTCTGACTTTGCTACAGAATTTTAACTACAGAAAAATGTGGGCTATGGGGAGTAGAATTCTGTGACGTGTATAAAATATTTTACCTGATTTATTTATGGCATGGGACACGATGCTCTAGCCCTACCCTGACTGGGAAAACTTATTCAGTTGCTCCTCTTGCTTACTAAGCACTAACCCTAGTGTACTTTCAAGCACATGTTTGCAACCAGGAGGGGAGGGAATCCTTTTTTTAAAAGCTAATTTTCCCCTCCCCTACCATTGCCCTATACCTCTCTTCTTCCCTTGTATGTCTCTTTAGACTGTAAGCCTGAGGGCAGGGCCCATCTCTTTTTATTCATGTAAGCCACTTTGGGAGATGATTTTGAGGAAAGCAGCATATAAATATACAAATAAATTGAAAGCTGTAATTGTCAGGCAGCTGAATTCCGTTTGCGGTATTGCATGCTGCAACTTTTTTACGCTCTCGCAGAACCTGTGGTGCATACACAGATCTGGCTTTAGGTAAGAAATGGGTGGGGCCTGTTGTATCCTTTCCTTGCCATACTGAACCGGTAATTAACACTTATCATGAAAAAAGAATGGCTAGGGGTGGAAGGTTGCCATTCCTTCTGGTGTGTGATGCCACACTACCCCAATGAAAATCGGGTAAATTTATGCATCCATAAGCCACACGATGCACTAGCACCTCTGTTCCATGTGGCATGAGGCTACGCAGTCTAGCTTAGTTACAACAATATATCTCAGGCAGAGTCTGCCATTAATGCCACCAGTTGTGGCTCTAGGGAAACCTGAACGATAGCATCAGTCCTTCAGTTCTTTCAGATAACGTAATTTGCTAGCTGGGTATGGGGAAAAATGGCCCCCCACAATTTAAATTACTGCAGGGGCCCTACTAAGCCAAGCGAGTTATTTACACTTGCTGTGAATTGGCAACCTTTTAGTGTAATGACTTCAGCTTGGAGCCCAAAGAATGTTTGTTCCCAATTAAGCTTCACTTATTTTTCTCTTTGCTGCATTTCATCACCTGTATGTACCTGCAAGTTGTGGATGGGTTATGCTGAGGGTAACATCAGGTTACGTCACAAATGAATGGGCTTATGTCCTTTCTATACTGTACAGCTAACTGTATATGGTAATGGTTCATTTGATGTTAAAGTGGCTTCTGTGTTTGTTAAATAGAATACAATTTTCTTTAAAGGAAAGGGGGAGCAACAGGACTGTACAGTTGGACTTCATTCTATCAGCGCTGTGGTTCTCTGAAGAATGGTGCCACTAGAACAGTGCAATATGCTATCAGCCTTAATTGTTCTCTATAGGTTTCTCTCCATATTTAAAACTTTAGTACAGTCTTATCCCACTGTTCCTCATAGCCTTCTGAGGTTTGTTTAGGAATGGGCATGAACCACCTCATGAACTAGTTCATGAATTTTGGGCGATTCGTGGTTTGCGAAGCAACATTTGCGAATTGAAGACCCACCACAAACTTCCACGAATTTTGATGCAGTTTGTGAAGACTAGAATGCAGGGTTTAAATGCCTTGGAGCTATTCAAACCCCTGCTTTTTGTGAAAAGCGGTGGGGAGCAAAAAGCAGGGTTTTAAATGGTTCATGGACTGGTTTGGTTTGTGGTTCAGTCCCGAACCTCAGAAGTGTGGTTCATGCCCATCCCTAGGTAGACTGGGAAGAGTGACTGGCCCAAGTCAAAGTGCTTTCCCTAACCTGATTCGGGGGTACTGTTCCATAATTCCTTCTCCCTCTGCAGTGTTTCTGGAATGGCAGGAGGCATGTGGCCAATCAAAGCATTCCCAAGACCCAGGGAAGAAGAACTAGACTATACAGATAGTGAAACGTGAGGTAGCTTATTCCTGCTTTCGATGGAAGATCAAGACAAGTAGTTATAGCCACTGTCGAAGAATGTTGGCCTTCGAAGACTGGGAAACTCATGTTTGCGGTAAAACTTAACTCTTGGGCCAATTCTCTCAGAGGGTTGCTAGGAGGATAAAATGGGAGAATCGTGGCTCCTTGGAGGAAGGGGTGGGAATAAAATTGGAGTAAAGCCTTCTCAGTAACAGCAAATCTATTAGTGAATGCGACACCATTTGATTTCACATTCAGCATGACAACTCTAAACATTCCCTTTCAATAAAACAGAATTGACGCAAATACAAGCCTTGGGGAAAGGCTGGTATGGCTCCTCCCCACTGGCATTTCTTCTTTACACGGAGAGTGATTAAAATGTGGAATTTGCTGCCAGAGGATGCAGTGATGGCAGGAATAAACTAGCTTTAAAAGGGGATAGACAGATTCATGGAAGACAGGTGTATCAGTGGCTACCTAGCCATGGTGACTGAGAGGGAACCTCCACATTCAGAGACACTTCATGCATGAATTAAAGTTTGTTGGTCTTAAAGGTGCCACTAGACTCAGTCTTTATCATTTGTAAAGTTTAAAGGCAGCAGGTCTCACTTTTCTCTGAGTGAGGCCCCCTGCTAGTATTCTACCATGTTTATTATTTCTGAAATCATTTGGGACACAAGTTTGTAAAGTCTTGTTAGTCCTGCAGATAAAGAGGGACAAACCACTCACGCTGCAGGGTCTATGGATTCTACCTACAATACGGACAGAACAAACTGATAAACTGAT